TCTGCTTCGACGCGATCTTCAGTAAATGCTAGAATTAACCCTGGCACGTGCATGTTCAACTCTTCAATCGACGACATAACGAAAGGTCTCCAGTTTGAATTGATTTCTATGAAAACGCGAACAATTTTCGGAATATATGAACTAATTAGTTCATTCATCATCTGACTTTTGTAAAATAAAATCAGCGCTTGTGTATCATTTTGCTTTTTTATAGTATTCATTTTCTCTCCCAAAAAACAAATTTCGTTACAAAATGTTGTTCCATGGCTAAGTACAGATTCGAAAACTCTACCTGACAAAACATCATCTTCACCTGCAAAGACATTTCTCAATCTGTAACGAAAAAAATGTTTTTTGTCGTAATAATATTTCTCTCTAAAATTAACGTTTTGCTTTTTATAGGTAAAATAATGACTTAGTACTTAATTCTGTCTAGCAATACAAGCTGATTTTTTACAATCAATGTAATTGAATAAAACAAATCTGAGCCATTCGGAGGAAAAAACCACTGGCTTGTATTGAATAAACGACATGCAGGGCCATTCGGCGAAAAAAAAACTTGCTTGTATTGAATAAAGGACATTCAAAGCCATTCGTAGAAAAAAAAACCACTGGCTTGTATTGAATAAAAGACAGTCAGAACCGTTCGGAAAAACAAACAATGGCTTGTATTGATTAAAGGACAGTCAGAGCCATTCGGCGAAAAAAACTGGCTTGTATTGAATAAATGACAGTCAGAGCCATTCGGAAAAAAAGGCATGTATTGAATTAAGGACAGTCAAAGCCATTCGGAAAGAGAAAAAAAGGCATGTATTGAATTAAGGACGATCAGAGCCATTCGGCGAAAACAGTGACTTGTATTGATTAAAGGACAGTCAGATTATTTTATTCAGAGCCATTCGGCAAAAATCACTGGCTTGTATTGAATAAAGGACATTTATATCCAATCCGCGAAAAAACAATGACTTGTTTTGAATAAAGGACAGTCAGAGCCATTCCAGAAAAAAACAATAGCGCTTATTGAATTTAGGACAATCAGAGCCATTCGGAGAAAAACAGTTGCACGTATTGAATAAAGGACAGTCAGAGCAATTCGGCGAACAACACTGGCTTGTATTGAAGGACAGTCAAAGCCATTTGGTGAATAAAAAACCCACTGGGTTTAATTGATACATGTTTATTGGTTTGCAAACGCGTATGTCCTACCTAAAATGTGTGCTACTAATCATATTCCTGATAACTCATATCATTTTTGTCTGAAAGTTGACAAAATGATGACAAAATGTGTACTTTTGTTTGTAAATTTCACTCAGCCTTAAGTATCAGAAAGTAAGCATCTGCATTTTTTCTCAGCCATAGGAAATTTTCATGGGATTTTTTATTTGATTCAATGATAGTTTAAAATGTATGATTAACAATGATGAACGCTACAATGTTAGTTTATAAAGCAATATATATATATTGCTTTCCCCAACTTTCTCATAACTGTAAATACACATATATAGTATGCCAGGAGCTGTACATTCATGCCGATTATTCATGGTCACATAAAGGTTGCAATTCTGTAAATACAGACAATGCAATTTCCCATAGGAACTCCCTTTGCGGCTAAAACTGTGACACTTTTACTATGAAGTTTCGTGAAAAATAATATCCCAGAACGGAAAGTTTATATGCACTACTATTTTATTCAAAGGTCAAAATATAGGGCTGTGCGGCATATTTTCATCATTTATATGCCCTGAACTTCTAAGAGTTTAAACTTATACTAAAATTCTATACTACCCTTACCTCCATTTTTGAACCTCCTAAGAATTAAAATTTAGCCGCTACCATGTTTTTCTATACTGGTTACATTCCCAAGTGATGTCTTTATGAGATGAAACACAGAGATCATCAATGGGAACCAGTACGTTAACAAATTAACATACCTATGAATATTAAATATCTCCCCAAAAGAGGCGTGGTTTGAGAAACAGCTGTATTTACAAAGTGCAACCTATACAAACACTTATTCAAATAGAAAACTCTCTAAAAACACTTTTTCTCACAACAATACTTATTTATCAGAATTATAGCCTTAAAGAAATCACTGCATATACTCTAAGTCTCCTTTTACAGTACATTTTATACCCCTACCCCTGTTTCAATTTTTTAAAGATTTTGAAAACAAGACTCTAATTATTGCCAGCTTACCCTATGTGCATGTTTTCTGAAATGAACTGTCTAAAACCTGTTTGAAACTATGCTGATTACAAATTGAAAGCATTTTAGAATACTATAAATGTATTGTTTAGTAGTTAAGCATTCCAACATTCAAGATTATACAAAGTATCCAATCCTGCCTGTGTCTCCAGTCCACATCTTACTGTATGCCTATTTGTCAATGAAAGTTCACAATTTCTGCCTCAAATGGTCAGTTTAGAATTCTTGTCACAACAGTATCATCCCTAACCATATATCTAACATAAGCTAGTTAATATATGTCCTAGAAGTGTTTAAACAAAGCCATATTTGCAAAAGTTGTATTTATGAAGATATCAGTCTGGTGCATAAATTCACTAAAAGTTTGATTGAAATGACTGCTTACATCTGATTTTTGCATAACTTCCTAGCACAGTTATTGTTTTCTTTATAAAAGACCTTTAAAATAAAAAAATCATAGCATTTACAAGTTAAATTATCTGTTTTATGACTCAGGGGTATGCATTTTTCTCTGTGTTTTGCCCCTGGGGCCTCACATTTCATAATTTTTTCCCCTGTTTCTAGCAATGTGGAATATTTACTACATATTTAGGATAGAATACACTATTCTAAGTTTTACTGAGGTCTTTTTGTAATTCTAGCTTGTACTTTTTTATGCCGCAGTCACAAAAAAGCACATTAAGGCGTTACGGCTTACTTTTGGGTTATCGACAGGACAAAAACACCCCACCAGAAATATTTAGGAAGGATCAATGAGTTGCAATTACTGCGAAGAGTAAATATAAGCACTTCTAAACAATTTAAATTACAAATAGGCATATATTATGAATTTATTTTGAATTCAGGGCTTTAAGTAAACCATGCATACTGTAAACTGTGAATTTATGCTGAGTCATCATAGTTAAGGCCAAGGATTTTCTCAATCTTCATGAAATATTTATAAAACTTCATATTTGAGTTAAATTCTTTAAAATCTCTGAGATAAACCAGATTTTGTGAAATTCTGTATGTTCTATTTTTTAACCCTATATAGGTTGCAATTCTGTAAATACAGACAATGCAATTTCCCATAGGAACTCCCTTTGCGGCTAAAACTGTGACACTTTTACTATGAAGTTTCGTGAAAAATAATATCCCAGAACGGAAAGTTTATATGCACTACTATTTTATTCAAAGGTCAAAATATAGGGCTGTGCGGCATATTTTCAACATTTATATGCCCTGAACTTCTAAGAGTTTAAACTTATACTAAAATTCTATACTACCCTTACCTCCATTTTTGAACCTCCTAAGAATTAAAATTTAGCCGCTACCATGTTTTTCTATACTGGTTACATTCCCAAGTGATGTCTCTATGAGATGAAACACAGAGATCATCAATGGGAACCAGTACGTTAACAAATTAACATACCTATGAATATTAAATATCTCCCCAAAAGAGGCGTGGTTTGAGAAACAGCTGTATTTACAAAGTGCAACCTATAGCCTGCATAAAATAAAGAAAATGTGTCATGATTTCCAATGAGACAACTCTCCAACAGATACCAAATGACGTAGAAGTTAGCAAATATAGGTCCACTTTCGACCTTCGAAATGAGCAAAACCCATACCGCATAACAAGTTATTAAAGGCCTCGGAATGACAAATGTAAAACAATTCAAACGAGAAAACTAACGGCCTGATTTATGTACAAAACAATAAACGACAAATAAATATGATAAACAGCAACAAACCACCCAACTGCAGGATCGTGACTTACAACAGGCATGTATAGAATGTGGCGGGGTTTAACATGTTTGCGGGTGCCCAACACTCCCCTAACCTGGGTCAGTGGTGTAATAGTACAATATAAGAACAAACTGTAAAATTCAGTTGAAAAGGGATCAACTCATCAGAACTATACAAAGCAAAAAAAAAAAAAAAAAAAACAGCTAAAAAAAACACAAGACACAAAGTACAGATCTGAAAGTAATCGCAGTTACTGAAAGCTAGTTTAAAGCAAATGACAACTAATAAAAAAATTATTGTATTCAAGACCAAAATAATAAGCAGTACACATCCAACATATAATGGATATAGTGTAAAGATGTCATTCACAGTCAAAGAAAAATATGATCTTGTGTAATGCCAAAAAAATGAAAACAACACTTTATAAATTTCGTGCGTCCGAACGAGGAACCAGGAACTTCCAAAGCCGAATATTTAAAAGCTTATGATGTATAAGAACCGTAACATTAGCTATATGACCAAAAACGACCTATGTATAGCAATGACATTTAGTTGGGCTTTAATTTTTTGATAATAAGATCAATGTTTACACCGATAAATACAATAGATAATTCTAACTCCCTTCCCCCAAAAAATAATAATCAGTGTAAAACCCGCAGTAAGGCATTTGTTTAACAATTTATAAACTTCAGGATTTCAGAAACGATTAAGACTCTATTTAATCAGTCAGTTCAAACTGAAAAAGAATGATATTTGTTTCCCAAAATAAATTTTTGTATTCATAATGATTAATAGATTTCTTAACTTTAATTTATTTAATGTTGGTGTTGTTGTACACTGTTAATACGTATATTATCTGGGAAAAAAACCAAATGACTCACTTAATTTCAATTTTGCCCATCAATGCTCTGATATCCTCTTCTTTTGCCATCGACTTAGTGTACTTAAAAGTGTGTGGTGTTGGAATACAAGGAACTTTTATCTTTCCAAAACTGCCTTCGAATGACTTAATTTCGAGTAGTAAACCAATAGTGTCTTTGCTTGTCCTAATTTCTGCTTCCTTACACCTGAGACTTTTGGTAAATTCCTTGGCATCATTTGTCTTCTTTACTGCTTCATTTAACAAAACTTTCTGCTTGAATGACTTTGTATTTACCTCCTGTATCATCTGATCAACAACTTTATCAACTGACAATTTGATCATTTCACCATCTCTTTGAATACTTTCTACTGTTGAATTTACGCTTTCATCTAACATGACTTCGTATTGATCTAACTTAGTACCACTGTTTTCTAGTTCAAGGACTTCGTCAGTATTAAGGGTTGAATTAAGAGAAGCTAAAAACATGTTTTTCTTTTTTGAAACAGTTTCTTCAATGTCCGCCATTGAATGCCCTTTGTGGCTTTTGACTGTGCAAATTCTACACACTGGAACATCACATTTATCACAAATGAAAACATGTGATTCGTTATGATCTTGACAGAAAAGTGACGAGTCTGATGTCGCACTTACAGAGTTCTTGAATCGATGATCTCGACAAACAGCAATTCGCAAATGACTCGTTTTGCAATTTGGACAGAAATACTGGTTGCAATCTAAACAAAATTGGCTGCCACGTGCACTCATGCACATTTCACAGAAGTTTTGTTTTGCACTTTGAGCCATATTTTGAGATTCTAAAACATATAAATAAAACAAAAAAATCATAAAAAATTATTATTTTGCTAATTGACAAAATTGAGAAAAAAAACAATTGATTTACAAATACCCCTACATAATTGTTACATTAATTAATTAATTACTGACCTTTATTTTCATAAACCTTTTTCTATAATTACAGATATTATTCCTATGTTCCGATAGCTTTATAATATTTTCACAGTTCTGAAAAATATTTTAACATCAATGCGCTTTATACACTCATCACATAACGAAAAACATGACCATCAAAAATTAAAACAGAAATGTCTTTCTGAAACACAAAAATTCGTTAAATTTAATATATCTTTTGGATGCTAGCTATATGCCTTGAAACTTTACCAACTGCACAGTCAGTCTTGTCCTATTGTTATGATAAACCTATACTAGATACAAAAGCATTATTTCTTATGTCCTTTCAAAAAAAAGTATTTTTTTGTAAATGAATGGTAAAAAATAAATGAACGGTCACTTTTATACGACAATGTTCATATCTGTTCATCTGATGCACCGAAAACGGTTCTTTAGTCTACATCTGTTTGCATTCGTGAACATTCTTCAAATTTAGACAATTATCATATTTCTTAAAACTTCAATCGAAATGTTAACTTTGAACTCCAAATTTCTACTTTTCCTATTTAGTATTCAAACTTTTACGATAAAATTGAGAATGGAAATGGGAAATATGTCAAAGAGACAACAACCCGACCAAAGAGCAGACAACAGCCGAAGCCGATAGTATTTAAACATAGTATTAAATGCTGGGTTTTTCAAAGGTTGCTATACTGTATAAATTTACTCACTGTTGGAGGCCTATACCCTGGTCCTGTGGTCTTTGTGACCCAATTGGCAGTCATACCACAACCTCTGATTTTTATATCGCAATGATAAAGACAGAGTGTGTGGTGGAATTATTTATCATCAAATAAATTGATATTTGAATTGGTTCTTTCATTTTTTTTTAAACCACAGAAATTTCCGTAGGAAAGTGCAGTCGAATATGATGCATTGATATTTTTTTTTTTTTTGTCATTTAATACAAAAACAATTAAATCAAAGTTGCTTCACATAACATGGTTTCCTTTAAAATGCAATCTTAGACATACAATTAACATTATGTTCTCTTCAAATCCAAGACATCATGAATGGGGGCATTTATTCTGAAAGAGGGGAGGAAGGGACTTGTAAAAATATCCCATATCAAATATGTGAGGTCGTTGGTATGACACCTTAAGCTTGCTCACTTAATGTTTTTAATTGCATTATGTTGATCTTATGAGTGAAAATGAAAGAAGTCAACTGAAACGCTGTGATTGGATAAACTTTTATAATACATACATTCTTTACTTATTAATGAACAACTGTATTAGTGTATTTATATTTAAAACTGTGTTTCTGCAACATGGTCTATCGAAGAGTAAACCAAGGGGGTGGTGGGGGGGGGGGGGGGGGAGGGGGGTGGGGATTATAACAGACCCAAATCATTTAACAACTGCTAAAATCAACCTTAAAATAACAAGTAGGACCGCATGGAAAATGTAAAAAAAATAACAATCACTGTTATCACTTGATTTTCACGTGCTACAGGAGCGCTGTGGTTGGATGAAAGGGTATAATATATTTTTTAATTTATTCATGAATAACTGCAGTGTGTATATTTACAATATAAATTTTTAAACACATTGAAATATTTCCTTAAAAATTATTCGAAAAGGCTTCCAAATTTACATAAATTTTGATGTAAAATGACGGTGGGCATGGATATTATAATAAAGTTCCGTTCGAAGATAGTCATGCTACCATTTGACTTGAATTTCTTAAACAGAATAATAAAATACTAGTATCAAACATAACTGTTTTGTCCAGGTTTCTATTATAAAAAAGTAGTAAATTTAGATAATGTTAGTATTATTGCCTATGGAAGAATAAAAACTACCGTTTTCCCTTTACGCCTATACTGGCAAAGTTACAACGGTTTGCATTCTAGAAGTTCTAGAAACTAGGGCCCGCATTAAACCTTTTTGTTACTCTTTTCAAACACATTGCATGTTGAAGTTTTATATATGTATGCAACTGTCGAATTCATTATAATTGAAAAATTGACTTCGAAACAACTGCGTTTTAGAATGAAATATATACCTTTTGTTTTATATACAAGCCATCGAGTTCAGCTACATGTATCTGCAAAGAGAGACAGATTGACATGCCCGTTATACTAGCTGCACCTTCCGTAGAAAACAGACTCATCAAAGATACCAGGCTTATAATTCAAGTTGTACGCAGGACGTGCGTTTCGTTTCGTCTACAAAAGACTCATTAGTGGTACTCTCGAATAAAAAAAAATTAAAAGGTTGAATAAAGTACGAAGTTGAAGAGCATTCAGGACCCAAAATTCCGAGAAACGGAGTATTTGATAAATGCTTAAAAAATCACAACGTTGAAAAAGTGAGGAATAAGCAATATAAAATAAACTTTCAACGCCCTTCAAAAAAATACCCAAGTCTTGCATGTTTCACAAGTCGGGCCACTATATGTTCAAAACCTATGGAAAGAAGTATTGGTTGAGTGTAGGACAAACAAAAAAACAAAAACAATTGCAAAGAAAATAAAGAAAACCGTCAAATTTCTTGTATCATTAAAACTACTTACCGTATCAGTTAACAAGACATTATTTGAAATAGATGCATTATTCCATTATAATGTAGCAAAAACGTTTCCAATGTCCATGATTAAAACTTCCTTCTTGCTATATTTAGCCGTCAATTGTACATTATACATTATTTGTTCACGTGACAAACCCGTTTACAGGTCAGTAAATATTTTGTCAATGCGTTCTTTTTTTATCATTTGACAATGTTTAAACTTGTATTTTGAATGCATATATCTTACTTTGGAATACAATATATATACATATTTGATACTTCTCAAAGGTCTCTTTTTGTCATATATAACTCCTCTACAGGGGCGGATCCAGTCATTATAAAAGGGGGTTCCTAACCCAGGATAAAGGGAGGGGGGGGGGGGGGGGGGGGGTCCAACTATATGTCTGTCCCCATTCAAATGAATTGATCGTCATAAAAAGGGGGTTCCAACCCCCGGACCCCCCCCCCCTCCCCCCCCCCCCCCCCCCCCCCCCCCACTGGATCCGCCACTGCCTCAAGTATTCCATCATTAATACAAACCTTAGCTTTCACATATTATAATATGTTAAAACCAATCTGGAAAATCCTTACAAGTGCCGTGAAAAACATAATTAAAAAGACACAGGTGAACAAAGAAAATACAACACCATTATGTTACTGTAACTCTGTTGGCGTGGTTTCTCTTAAAATACATCAATCAAAATCATCTTCGTCTCTAACATGTAGACCTAATGAAATGTCCGACATTTTAACTTTAAAATGTGGGAACAACATAAACATTAAGGCAACCACAGTGCTAATCAAAACATTTGTTAGATAACTTGGCAGGAAATGTCATATTACTATAATAACATTTAGCAAATAATTCGGTAGGACAGTATAATAATTTCAATAAACAAACTTGTCAAAGCGACAAAATGAGGTAGCACACAAAAGACAACTTATCTTAGGAACAAATATACCACAACTGTAAAAATGTACGTGCCTTCAGTGCCAGGGTTGGCAAAAGCCGGGTTTTATAAGTATTGTCCAACCCAGTGGGAAATACTGGGAAAATGCGGGTTTTATAGGGCAATACTGGTAATATGAAATACTGGCCAGAATTTTTAAGAGTATGCAGTGCTCAATTACGAATAAAATACATATGCAAGGCATAATATTTTGATAAAAATAATTGTTTGTTTAAGTATCGAACAATCAACTCTAAGCTATACATAAACACACATAGACCAATGTGAAAAATTTGAAAAAAAAGATTTCTACAAATGTGTTATCCTCCAAAACATTTATTAAATTGTTATTCTGTCTAAATTGGCCAAACTTGACATACATGTCCTAGACATACCAAGATGTCGATATCGTCGATATCGACAATGTCGACACAATATCGAATCGATATCGATGAACTTATATACTCATATCATAACCAAATGTAGATTTTGATGACGACACCAATGACAAAACCTGATGTTGATATCGTCGATATCGACAATGTCGACTCGATATCGACTCGATATCGATAATGACTTAAGATAATGAATAAAAACAAGACATAACAAGCTGATTATATATATGAATTAAGACCGAAGATTGATTTAGGGATAGATGATGGCTGAATTGTAATCTATCTATTTTTTTTAAAAACAATCAGGTGGTCACATCTCCAAAGTAATGTACCCTTTAAAACACATTAATGTATTCTTAAAAAAAAAAAAAAAAAAATGTTTGCTTGTATTACATTGACAATGGCTGACATGGTAATTTAGGTGTAAACTAAGTGAGATATGATTGCATACAAAGATCTAAAACTGCAGATATAGTACAAACATGACTTGCTATGTAAAATTCAAATCCATGGGATGTGAACTGGTTCCCATTTCAAACAGAGAAAACATGGTTTATCTATTGGTTGAAATTAAATTTTTAACTTTATTTGAATAGTTTCGAGTACTCTTAGATCGGTACTTTGTGATTTTGTCTATTTGTTAATTTTATATATTGATGCTATACCACCGTCATAGATTTAAGGGAAGTTTTAACGCACAAGTCAACCTCGTCACATCCTTATTGTGATTTACCCTTCTCGGGAGCTCTTTGATTAAGTGGTTGTCGTCCGTTGCTGTCGGTCATATTTGATTTTTGCTTATCATTTATACATAAATCAGGATGTTTGTTTTCCCATTTGAAATATTTGATATTTTGTTATGCCGGTATTATTGTTAATCTTTGTTGTGAAGACTGTTAGGTGACGTATAGTTGTTAACATCCTCATTCTTTTTGTGTATTGTGGTCTGTTGTCTCATTGCAAATCGTGCAACATCCCCTATCTTAGTGTGTAATTAAGGTACGTATACTAAAATAAACGAAATAAATAGAGAAACAAATTATGAAGAAAATGTTTAAATGTTGATATGGAATTGATATCGTCGACATAGTTAAACAAACGAACCAGGAGAAACTAAATTGTCTATATATATAATTGTAGCAGATAAACATTTGGAAGATGTGTCGATGTCGTCGATATCGTCGATATCGACATCTTAAAACAGACAAAACAGGAGAAACTAAATTGTCTATACAGATAACTGTAGGAGATAAACATTTGGAACATAATTTTTCGATATCGACACGATGTCGTCGATATCGTCGATATCGACATCTAAAATAGACGATCTGGGAGAAGCTAAAATTGTTTATATACATAACTGTAAAACAGATAGACATTTGGAACATAATGTGTCGATATCGACTCGATATCGTCGATAACGTCGATATCGACATCTTAAAATATACGAACCAGGAGAAACCAAATTGTCTATATAGATTATCGTAGTAGATAGTCATTTGAAACATATAATGTGTCGATATCGACTTGATATCGTCGATGTCGTCGATATCGACATTTTCATTAGACGAACCAGGAGAAACTAAATTGTCTATATAGAAAAATGTAGCAGATAAACATTTGGATCATTATTTGTTGATATCGACTCTATATCGTTGATGTCGTCGATATCGAGACTACATTCATTTGTGTCTTGGACATACCTCAAACTTGAAGCCAGAGTCATTTTTTAATATATATAATAAAACCGTGTTCAGTTTTGGCTGCTGAATACCAATTATTGTCACAACAACCCATTATGTCTGTTTTGGTTGCTCACCAAATTTTCTCAATATAACGTAATTATAAATAACTGTCATACCAGTGGGAGGTTAAGCTAGCTATAAAACCAGATTTAACCCACCATGTTCTACATAAGGAAATGCCTGTGCTAAGTCAGCAATATGACAGTTGTTTTTCAGTCGTTGGTTGATAACGTTTGATTATGTCAGTGTTTGTGAAGTTCCCTTTTAACCGGATTTCCGAAGGAAAATATCGGTTATTAATTTGGTGATCTACGGCGGGCGGGCGGCTGCCAAACAGTGTCCGTGTAATAACTTGAAAACACTTTTTCACGATTTTAGCTGTTATCGTTGTTGAGTTGTAGACCTTTAAGTAGTGAATAGTGATACTTAGAGTGTTGTCCATGCAATTCATTGAAAACGCTTTGACGAAATCTTTTCAAATTTAGATATGTTGTTTCCTGTGACTAAATGAAGGGCAATGTGCGATTTTCATAAATTCAGCTTTTATCATTGTTGAGTTGTAGACCTAAAGGTAGCGAAAAGTGACAATTAGAGTGTTGTCCGTGAAAACGCTTTGACGAAATCTTTACAAATTAAGTTATGTTAATTGTTTCCTGTCAATAACTGAAGGTCAAGTTCGATTTTCACGACTTTAGCTTTTATCGTTGTTCAGTTTGTAGACCTCTAATAGTGAAAAGTGATACTTAGATTGATTTTGACCTTTCCATTTCTGAATCCTACAAAAAATCATTTATTTTTTTTACTTGATCCTGTTTGGCGGTCCAGATTTGCAAATATGATTTTTATGCAGGAAAAAACGGTTTGCTGTCAATCTGATAGCCTCCTGTTTTATATTGCCTCGGCGTTCGGAAGTTTCGTTTTACTTTTCTTTTTTAGAGTAATCAATTAATTATGTGTAAGGAAAATGGACTAAAGTAAGTTAACTATATTCCATACATTTGTTTTGAGAAATTTTGCATGGCATTTCTGTGCTGTGAAAAATTCAAAAAGATTAGAAAAAGTGCAAGAAAGAGCACTTAGGTTTGTGTATGAAGACAATTTAAGCTCATATCAACTGTTTTTGGAAAGGCTAAGATGCCATAACTGCATTTTGAAAGTCAAAGATCAATGGCAATTGAAACTTTTAACATTGTTGATAAATTAGCATCCGTCTGTTGACTTGATCGATTAAACGTAAATATACTGCATATTCCCCATGTAAAATCAACACGGTTCTGTAAGAAAAGTTTTTAATTTGCACCTGCTACTCTATGGAACAGCCTATCCGACCATTTCAAAACTGAAATTATTTTTCTTTTCACAATTCAAGAGCCTTATAAGTCTTGGAATGGATCAGGTTGTCGTTGTTCTGCATGTAGATAAGCTTTTCATTTTGCTATGTTTTTAGTTGTAGTGCTTTTCATTTTTAACTGATATGCAGTATTTTTTTTATGACCTGTAACATGAAGTATGTAATAACAACATGAAGTATGTAATAACAACATGAAGTATGTAATAACAACATGAAGTATGTAATAACAACATGTAGGATTAATCAAATGTTAAAACAATGCAGATTTTGTTTGTTTTCAGCGATTGAAATAAAACACATCACTACCGATCGGATGTACATGTAAGTTACACCAAAACAAAATGCTTTATTGTAACGTTACTAGAAGACTTAAGTAAGTGCAAACCCCTTTTAGGAAGAATACTTATAACTTATAACTAAAACTTGTAATGAGATTTCGAACCATGGTATGTTTTAGAGTGAAGGTAGTTTCCGTAAATAATTGAAAAATATTCTTTAATTGGCTTTTTCGTCATCAATTAAGAATACATAAGAAAACTGGACATAGTATCAGATTGACATATTGGACACGATTGGACACGATTGGTAGATGCAGATGATACATGTATGTTAATACATAGGAACGGAAAGTTGATAATATATAGGAAGAGTGACATCAATCGCCTAATAAAAACTTGTAAGT